ACAGAAAACCTTACAGGATAAAATTTGGGGAAAAACCAAATAACAGGGGCAGAAACACTAGCAAAAATGAAGTTCTTATTATTAAAGAAGCCAACCATGGAAAATTATTTTTACACTAGAAAAATGAAGAAAGAAAAAAAGAAAAAATCTAGAGGGAGAAAGTTGAAATAAAAAAGAAAACAAAGCCGTTTATATATCTTGCTGAATAGTGTCTGGGCAACAGGTGATTTTCTGGGGTGTGAGATACTAATCACAATGCTGATACAGCTGTATGAGATGGACAGTGGAGGTCTCTGCTGACTACTTTGCCCTCAAACCCTGCAGGGTTGAGAACCTAAATCTCTCCTCAGCACACTTCAAAGACACTTTTAAAAGACACTTTAAACCGTTAACCTTGGCTAAGCAGGAGCTTTCCCAGGAAAGACCTTGTTGCTAGGGTCTCTCCTAAAGTGGCTGTCTGCTTATCCAATGTGCCAAAACCAGCCTCACTCTATGCCCCTGGCACCAAGGCTGCAAGGCAGCCCTCCCACTGCCAAACACTAAAAGTTCCACTCTTCCCCAGTATCTTAGTCCCAGCCTTTGGTGCTGCTCAGTCACTAGATCACTCACCCAAGGTCTCCCAGCCCAAGCCTCACTCTGCGACCCTGAGGGCGGAGCCTGCAGGAGCAGTTCTCCCATAATGGCTGCACACGTGGCCCACAGCCAAATATTAGCTCCACCCAACCCAGCGGCTCAGTTCAGTGCCCTGGACAATGCTTAAAGTCACCTACACTCTCACCCAAGTTCATCCAAGGCAATTCAACCAAGTGCCCAAGTCTAAACAAAGAAAACAACCCACAGGGAAGGCTTCCCCTGTCTGCAATCTCGCTGCTGTTGTACTGACAACTGTGGTAGCCTGTTCCCAACCACTTGACACTTCTCCACTGCTTTGTCCTCTTCCTGGGGTCCAGAAGTCCCTCACTATCTCCCTGCATCCCCAAAGGGATGTTTCTGGATGGAACCCATAAGCCAGAGATGCCTGGAGTCTTCTCTCCTCAATCTTACTGCTCCCAGTTGCAAAGAAGCTGTTATTTGACTGCCATCTTGCTCCACCAACTTAGGCCCTTATTCTGTTTCGGGTTTTTTTTTTGCAGTTTTTGGTTGGGGTTGGGTTTGAACCCACCACCTCTGGTATATGGGGCTGGCGCTCTACTCCTTTGAGCCACAGGTGCTGCCCTGTTTTTTTAATCACTCTAAGAATCTATGTCTTTTAATTGATCTATTTTCAATCATTCATATTTAAAATTATTATTGCTGAAGATAGATTAGTATCTACTATGTGCATGCCTCTTTTCTATTGATTATATTTGTTCTTTGGTTCTCCTCCCACATTTTCTGCCTTCTTTGGTTTTAATTGCACATTTATTAATATAATGTCACTTTACTACTTTTCTAAGCATATCATTATACTTCTTTTAAAAGTTATTTGGGTAGTTGCCTTAGAGTGTTTAATCACATTTTATTTAAATAGTAATTTTTTTATTAATACATTTTATTTTTTTTTTTTTATTTATTTTTTTTTGAGACAGAGCCTCAAGCTGTCCCCCTGGGCAGAGTGCCATGGCATTACAGCTCACAGCAACCTCCAACTCCTGGGCTCAAGCGAGTCTCCTGCCTCCGCCTCCCAAGTAGCTGGGACCACAGGCGCCCGCCACAACGCCCGGCTATTTTTTGGTTGCAGCCATCATCGTTGTTTGGCGGGTCCGGGCTGGGGATTCGAACCCGACAGCTTAGGTGTACGTGGCTGGCGCCTTAGCCGGTTGAGCTATAGGCGCCGAGCCAATACATTTTATTTTGAAACTTTAGATTTATAGAAAAATTTGAGCAGAGAGTACAGAAAAAATATACATTTTAAGTAATAAATTCCACCTCCAAATAACACTGTACCACTTGATACATAGTGCAACTAAATTTTAACTGAGTATTCCCAATTCACCCTCCCTTCCTCATGACATTGCTGTCATTCACTTCACTTATCCATATGCTATAATCACCCATTACCTTGAGTTTCTGACCTATATAATTTTCCTTCTCCTTGAAGAACTTCTTTTAACATTTTTTGTAGGGCAGGTCTTCTAGTGATGAATTCCTTCTGTTTTTGTTTTTCTGGGAAAGGCTTCCTTTCTCTTTCCCTCCTGAAGAATAATTTGACTCAATAAAGATTTCAAGGTTGATGAGTTTTCTCTTCCACCACTTTAAATATTTTACTCCACTCTCTTCTTGCTTGTGCCATTTCTTTTTTGTTTTGTTTTTGAGATAGAGTCTCATTTGGTTGCCCTGGTAGTGTCATGGCCTCATGGTCTACTTCACATCAACCTTAAACTCCTGGGCTCAAGTGATCCTTCTGGTTCAGCCTCCCAAGTAGCTGGGACTACAGGTGCCCACCACAATGCCTGGCTAATTTTTTCTGTTTTTAGTAGAGATAGGATCTCACTCTTGCTCAGGCTGGTCTTGAAATCCTGAGCTTAAGTGATCTTCCTGTGTTGAACTCCCGGAGTGCTAGGATTATAAGCATGAACAACCTCACCTGGCCAGAGCCACTGTACCCAGCCAGCTGGCACCATTTCTAATGAGAAGTTTGCTGTAATTCTTCTTCTTGTTCCTCTGTAGGCAAACCACCACCCCTCTGCATTTCTTTTAAGAATTCTCTTCATCTTCAGTTATCTGCAGTTGGAATATGATGTGCCTAGGTATAGATTTTGGGGCATTTATTCTGCTTTATGTTCTCTTAAATTCCTGGGTTTGAAGTTTGGTATCTGTCATTCATTGTAGAACATTCTCAGCCATTATTTCAAACATTTCTTCTGCTCCTTTCTTTCTTCTCTTTCCTGTTTTCCAATTACATATATTTACATTTTTAAAAATTATCCCATAGTTCTTGGATGTTTCTGTTGTTGGGTTTTTTTTTTAATTTCTTTTTTCTCTTTGTACATTAGTTTAAGAAGTTCCTATTGACCTATCTTCAAGTACACTGATTTCTTCCTCATCTGTGTCCAGTTTACTGATGAACTCGTCAAAGGCATTTTTATTTCTCTTACAGCGTTTTTGATTTCTAATATAGCTTCTAAATTTTTTCCTTAAAGTTTACCTCTCTCTGCTCATATTAACCATCTGTTCTTACTTGTTGTCAACTATTCCCATTAGAACCTTTAACATATTAATGATAGTTATTTTAAATCCCCTGTCTGATAATTTCAGCATCTATGCCATAGCCAAGTCTGGTTCTTATAATTCTTCAGACTGTAACTTTTCTTGTCTTTTATCATGCCTCATGACTTTTTCTGGAAAGTCAGCCATGATGTACTGGATAATCCTGAGGTAATCTTGCTAGTTGTCAGGCTAGGTCCCAGATTATATGCCACGCCCACCTCTCTACGCCCAACCCAGCCCTTTTTCCCCTGTTAGTGACACCTTGTTCTGACTCCAGCTGGGAAGAAGGGACCACTACAAATGTCCTTCCCTGGCCAGCTCTTTCTTTGCTGAGCTGTCTGTGCATGGGGCCTTCTAGGCTGCATTCCCTAGGTTCCTGACTCCGCAGCTCCCTGATAGGTTCAGCCAGTGAAAGGCACAGGTGGAAGCTGGAGGTGGGAGGAAGGGAGAACCAGGTATTTCTCCCTCTCTGTCTCAGGCAGAATCTCTGACAGTGGCAGTCTCCAGCTCCAGTCAGGTCACCATGGTATCTTGGCTGCAAAAACATCTGCTGTCCCTCCGTCAAGGACTTGGGGGCACTTCCTACTGTCGCTGATCTTGAAGTTGCCATATTATCCCCTGTATGGCCTCACAGCCTCTTTCTCATCAGTTATCTCTGTTAAATTCCCTCTGTTTAAAATACTTAGAGATGTCTGATCTTGTGTAGAGACCGTGATTCATATTGCATCTGTTCAGGTTAGAGCCACAGCCCAGTGAGAGCTCATAGCTCTGCAAAATCTAATCTACCCCCAGTCCTGTCAGGAGCACTGGTATAAAGACACAGAACAGTCACCAGGGCAGCCCAAAGTACCTACAGAGGATGTGTGATAAATGCGGCCATGAAGACAGAGTTGGGAGGGCTTTCTAGGGAGGAGCAAGTTGCTCTGACATGCTTGGGAAAGTGCAGGGGTGTTCTTGGTGCTGTGAGTGTCAGGGGTGGGTGGAGCAGTGTGTATGTGTATGGTAGTGGTGGGGAGGAGGTCTGAAGGTGGGTCAGGGACTGCAGGATGGAGAGCTGGACACCCACCCCAGGAGGTAGCCCCGTTGGGCCTCCTATGTAGAAGTGAGAAGGGAAATCTGCTTGCCCAGGAAGAGAGACCAGGAAGAAGTCAGGAGTGGTGGCCACGGGTGGACTGTGGGGGCTCCCTCCCCACCCCCAGGCCTAGGTTTCACTTCTTGAGTCCCTGGCTAACACCATCTGCTCTTTACCCCCACCCTCGTTTTTAAGTAGGTACATGGGAGTTCTGGCCCTGGCTACACCGTGTCCCCTCCCCAGCCCAGTGGGTGGTGGAACTGGAACACAGGAGTCCTGGCTTCCTGTGCCTCCCTGGCTAAACAGCGCCCGGGGACACTGGAAACACTTTGGGCGCTCAGGGCTTCTAAGAGGCCAAGTCTGAAAAGGCTTTGGTCCAGGAGGAAGCAGCGGAGCCTGTGGGGAGCTCTGCGGTGTTCACGCGACGCCCCTCTTCCTTCAGTCCCGCCGGATGTCCCAGCCAGGGAAGACCTTCTAGAAGGGGAGGGCCCCAAACTTCGGGCCCGGCGGGGAGAGACCGCCCCTTCCCCGAGAGCGCCCTGGGAGGGGGCCGACACAGTGGCAGACGGGTGCTCGGGGCACGCCGGCGGCTCCTCGGAGCCACGCCGGCCGGGGGCGTCCACCCTCCGCCGCCTCCTCCGCGGGCCCGGCGGGGGCGAGGTGGGGCGGCGGCGGCGGCGGCATGGCAGGGCCCCGGGCCGGGCCTGGAGTCGCGGCGCTGCTGGCCCTGCGAGCGCTGTTGGCGCTGCGGGCGCTCCGGGCCGCCGCGCACCCGCAGTGTCTGGACTTCAGGCCGCCCTTCCGGCCGCCGCAGCCACTGCGTTTCTGCGCGCAGTACTCGGCCTTCGGCTGCTGCGATCCCGAGCAGGACGCGACGCTGGCCCGCCGCTTTGGCACCCTGGCAGCCCGCGTGGACGCTGCTATGTGGGCCAAATGCGCCGGCTATGCGCTAGACCTGCTATGCCAGGTGAGCCGGCGGGCGGCTGGGGCGCGGGCGGGCGTGGCCGGGCAGGTGGCCGGCCATCTCCGGCGGGTACTGGGGCGGAGATCGACTCCATTGGGGCGGGGATCAGGAGTGGGCAGCGGACTCTGGAACTTTAGGCTCCAACTGGGAGGCAGGGCATCCCGGGACGGTTGTTAGCTTTGTCATTAATTTGCTTTGCAACTTGGGCCATCCAGGGGCCTGTTTCCCTTCTTGAGGCAGTAAAGACAGACAGATGTCATTACTTCCTCAGGGACTGGGAGCTGCTTTACCCTGTGATCCCCGGAATCGAGCTCCCAGTACCCTACCTTGTCCCGGTACCAGGGTGGAAAGGCTTTTGTCCCTCTTGGTGCTGCTCTGCGCTGCCCCCTAGAGGTAGGGTCAGTGAGGCGTGGGTTTGCAGAAGAGTATAGGGGGACACTTCTCCACAGGAGAAGCCCTGATGCCCTAGGCACTTCCAGTCCCCACTTTTGTTGGTGTTGAGCCCTCTCCCTGGGGTGGTGCTGTCACCTGGCAGAGGCTCTCTCCAGCCCATTTGAACACATCCCTTTGGCGGAACTTCCCTGTCCCCCATGCCTCTACCTGCCCCAAGCAACTCCATGTGGGAGGGTGGAGCCCCATTTCTGCTCCCACTCTGCTGTGCTGGGATGTTTTCCTCCTGTGGGGTCGGATGCCTGAGTGCCTGACTAGCACTGGTGGGCAGATGCTGCCTGGCTGAATGCAGAAAGGAAGGCAAGATCCAGAAGTCCCAGGGCTGCCCTGGCCCAGAATATGGGCAGAGTGATTGGGAGTGGAGGGGCCCTAAAGGCCAGGACAGTGTCCCAGCCTCAGCCACAGGGGGCAGGTGGTGCGGGGAGGGGCTGGAGGGTGACTTGGAGTCAGACATGCTGGGGTTTGACCCTGGCTGTGTCACTTCCCCGGCTGCATGACCTGAGCAGGCTACTGCTGCACTTCGGTTACAGTATCTTTAAAATGGGGACAAACTTTAAGCCATTAATCTGCATGGCAGATTAAATGACGCATATTAAGGGCTCAGCAAATGCTTGCAGTTAGACTCATCTAGTGCTTCCTTGGCTCCTGTTGGCTACTCGGCCCTGGGAAGGCCGAGGGCAACGGGCCCATTCAAGGAAGACTCAGAGACAGATAGGGACTTTCCCAGAGGTCACACAGCACAGTGGTGGCTGAGAAGGGGACTTGGACAACACTCAGTGCTGATATGAGTGGGATATCCAGCTGGGAAGACAGAGGAACTAGGAGGATGAAGAGAGGGGCCCTGGGCAGCTCCAGAACACTCCAAAAGGTGTGCTGTGTTCCTTTTGGTGGACTCTGGTGAGCTCCCACACTGCATCTCAAGGGAGCTGGACTGGTCTGACTGAGTGTCCGCCTCCGTCACCAGCCTGGGTGCTCCTCAGGACCAAGCCCTTTGTTCTCCCTGCCCTCAGTCACATAGGAGAGTTCATGCATCTATGCCACGTTCGTTTCTTGAGCACTTACTATGTGCCAGGCTTGGCAGGGCAACGAAGTGGGCAAGTCTTAGGAGGAGGAAGGGAAAGGTCCATCCTGATGCTGTCCCCTGGCCTTTCTTCTTTTGGACACCTTCCCAGGACAGCCTGGCCTTGAGCAACCAGCAGTGGAGTGGCCATAGGCCCCTCAGCCCTGGCGTCTGTGGGAGTGACCTCATGTCTGGAGTAAGTTTGAAGAGGGTGGCCAAGGCTGGGCTACCATTCCCCAACAGGGCCTCACGGAGTGCACTGGTTGGAGGACTATGCTGTCTGCCAGCCAAGGCCAAGTCTGGGTCTGAGGCCTCCCGATTTCTACTGGGGAGGTGGCCAAGGTGCCTTATTTATAGGTTTCAGTCAATGATGGCATTCAGGCCTTCACATCTGTTTGGGGGTGGGCAGGACACTCTTTCCTGGGGCTTTGCCCTTGTCATCTGGTACATGCCTGTGTCTTCTGGAAGAAAGAGGTGCCCCAGTGTGGGTTGTGTAAGCCATAACTAATTGCTCCGGTGACTGGGTGATCTCTTTAACAACCTGAAGCCGTCAGAGCATGGTTTCTGAGGACAGCCTGTGCAAAAGGTGCCCTGTGGGCTCATTATTCAGTAGGTACTTCTCTAGAGCCTGTTAGGAGTTAGCACTGTGCTGGGGATGGGCCCAGGGGCAGTTGGCAAGTCATAGTCTTAGCCTCCCCTTGTTCAATATAGGAGACAGACAAACACCAGAGTGTGCAAGAGGTTCCCCAAGGGTTACCAAACACCATGGGGGCATAGGGAAAAAGGATATATCATAAGTCAGGGAAGGGTCCTGGAGGAAAAAACATCGAGTTGCATCTTGATAGTTCATACCATTTGAACACTTAACAGACAAATACATGCATCGTCTCGATTCATTCCTCGCAGCAACTCTGAAATTGGGATTCCTTTCCTTTTCAGTAGATGAGGATATCGGCACAGAGAGGCAAAGGAGCCTGCCCAAGGTCACACGGGGAGGGGGTGTATGCTCTGGCTCTGAAGCCCTTCTCCTAACCACTTTGCTATACTGCCTCTCTTTGAAGCCCCATTGTGTGCTGGACCCTGGACTCCCTGCCCTAGAGGGTCCTGCAGTCTGAGTGGACAGACATGGAAAGAGATAAGTCCTAGCCAAGAAGACCAGCTGAACCACCTCTGGTGATGACAAGAGAACAGCAGAGGTAGAGAGCTCACCCTGCAAAGTGACAGAAGTACACTCTAGGGAATGTTTTTTTTTTTTTTAATTTATTTTTGCAGTTTTTGGCCAGGGCTGGGTTTGAACCCACTAGCTCTGGCATATGGGGCTGACGCCCTACCCCTTTGAGCCACAGGCACCACCCCACACTCTAGGGAATGTGTGTCTGAGATTCACAGAGTGCCATGGGAATATCCACAAGGGCCAGGAGGGGCAGTCAGGACCCTGGAAAGATGGAGGATAAGAGAGGACCTTGGAGACTGACCTTCAGTCATGAACAGTTTGTTAGATGAGGAGGAGGGTGAGAAGAGAATATCTAGTGGAAAAAAACATCATATTCAAAGGCTTGGTCTGTCTAAAGAATGGGTGGTGGATGTAAGCAATGGGCTTAGGATCATGAGTCATGCACTCCAGTGACTGCAGTTGGGGCAGTATAGTGGGCTGGCTGTCTGCCCTGGCACTGAGTGACCCAGGCAGTTCCTCCCCCTGTGTCACTGAACACCATGAGGCCTGGTTGCTGCTTAACCTCCTTGGCGGCTGCTGTTCACTCTACCCTCTGGTCATTTCCTACTTTGGCACTAACCTGGTCCAGGCAGTATGTTTGTATCGTGTATAAGTAAGGGCACATAGGCCACGTGTAAGTGTCTGCAATGATCTGATGCTGGGTGTTGACATCTCCAGTCTGGCTCCTCTGTGGTTCTGGGCTGGGCTTTGGTGAGTAGGACTCTCAGAGTGACTTCCAAAAGTCTGCCTGCTCCCCATCATGTCTCTGGACCTGAGAATGATGCCTGGCACACAGTCTGCCCAGTACACACTCGCTGGATGAAGTGTTGCTGACTAATCTGGAAAGAGCACAAGTCTGGGCATCATGAGGGCTGGATTTGAGCCCTGGTTTCACTACTTCTTGGCATGTGACCTTCTTGAAGCCTCAGTTCCTTCTCATCTAAAAAACAGGAGTCACAATGACCCTACCTTGGAAAGATGAAATGAGTTATGTGTGTACACAGCCCCTCCCTGGCCCACATGAAGCTGAAAGGGAACTGCAGTAAAGACAGCAGTATGCTGAGGTCTGCATCCTGGCCCTTTGGCCCACTCATTGGGGTCTGAGACAGAGACCCCAGGCACATATCACCAAGTGGCCCTTGGCTGTGAGATTCAGCCTCACAGCAGCCAAGGGACAAGGAGGATAGGCTGTGGTGGGACCAAAGCCACAGTCTTGTAACAGGAGTAAATGGTTCTGGCCTAGAGGGTAGCCTGCCATACCTGCCATGTACCCTTTTCATCCCCATCCCTTCCAAAACTTTTTAGAATGTAGCCTGGTCCTCCTAGGAAGGGGAGGGACTGTGGCTGTTAGCACCTCCCTTACTGAGGGAGAACATCCCCCAGGCCTCTGGGGGCCCAGAGCTGAGTCAGACCAGGCCTTAGCCTGATGAGCTCATGGGCAGGGCAGGCACGTGAATGAGACAGAGATATAAATAAGTCCCACACAACAGGCCAGGGGCTCTAACAGAGGGAGGTCCTTATACAGCCTGGGAGCCAGGGCTCTGCTTTGGCCAGGGGTGGGGTACAGGAAGATATAAGCTCTGCTTTGGGGTTTAGGATAGGTGGTTAGGAGTCAGCCAGTGGACTTGGGCAGACAGCTCAAATCACAGCCTGTGGACTCTGTGGCACGTGACCTAGGGCTAGTGCCTTTCTTCTCAGAGTGTCTGTTTCCACATCTGTAGAATGGGAATAAGAACATTCCTCCCTCCTGTGGTTGCCTATAGGAAGAAAGAAATGCAGATTCATATAGAGCACTCAGCATGGTGCCTGGGTCCAAACCCAGGAGCTGTTATTATTTGTTGTTACTGTTTCTGTAGTAGCAATGACTATTATTTAAGGATGAAGAGAATTCTGCCTGCCGCAGAAGAGCTAAAGGAAGGGCATGCCTTGAACAGTGTACACTGAGGCTCAGAGGTGTGAGGTGGCAGACAGCATCAGGAAATGGAGGGTGGGCAGGAGGCAGAGATGGTGGTAGAGCCATGGGCACAGCCAGATCAGAGAGTGCCTGTTTTTTGGTGTTTAAACAGTGTGGTAGGCCAAAAGATAATGTGTGTGTGGGGGATGGATGGAATGGTTAGGGAAGATCTAAGGAGGTGTGCTTTGAGTAGTGACCCAAATAAGTGACTGAGTAAATCATGCAGATGTAGGGACAGAGACATGATAATAACAGACCCTTCCCAGCATATGGTAGGTGCTCAAGAGTAGCTGCTGATACTACCATTGTTATTTCTCTCAGTTGTTGTGTTGTTATCTGTTCTGGCAGCAACAGTAAGGTAAGAGAAAGAGAACGGAGGCTGAGGACATGTGAAGCTAGGGTTGAGACTGAGTGGGGTAATAGACAGATGCATTGTCCCCATTCTACAGAGCAGCAGATTGAGTTTCTGAGAGGTGAGGTGACTTGTCCAAAGCCACCCAACTGGGAAGCATCTCCACGGAGCATCTCTGACTTTTCCTGTCTCTGCAGGAATGCTCTCCATATGCGGCCCACCTCTATGACGCTGAGGACCCGTCCACACCCCTGAGGACGGTGCCTGGGCTCTGCCAGGACTACTGCCTGGACATGTGGCAGACTTGTCGGGGCCTGTTCCGCCACCTCTCACCTGACCATATGCTCTGGGCACTGGAAGGCAACCGTGCCAAGTTCTGCCACTACCTTTCCCTGGACGACAAGGACTACTGCTTCCCGCACCTGCTGGTCAATGAGAACCTCAACTTGAATCTGGGCCGTGTGACCGCTGATGCCAAGGGCTGCCTGCAGCTGTGCCTGGAGGAAGTGGCCAATGGGCTGCGCAACCCCGTGGCCATGGTCCACGCCAGGGATGGCACCCACCGCTTCTTTGTAGCTGAGCAGGTGGGGCTAGTGTGGGCCTATCTGCCTGACCGCTCACGGCTTGAGAAGCCCTTCCTGAACATCAGCCGAGCCGTACTCACCTCACCGTGGGAGGGTGATGAGCGAGGCTTCCTGGGCATTGCCTTCCACCCCCGCTTCCGGCACAACCGCAAGCTCTACATCTACTACTCTGTGGCAGTCAGCTTCGATGAGTGGATCCGCATCAGCGAGTTCAGGGTCTCCGAGGACGACGAGAACACCGTGGACCATGGCTCTGAGAGGTGGTTTCCCCGGGGGGCCCAGGCCTGGGTGGGGGCAGGTGCCCATGTGCACTGGTGTGACTGTATTAGTTTGTATCCCATTGTTAAATATTGCAAATATTTGGCTGGGTGAGGTGGCCCACACCTGTAATCCTAGCACTCAGCCTAGGTGGGTGGATAACTTGAGCTCAGGAGTTTGAGACAAGCTTGACTAAGAGCAAGACCCCATTTCTACTAATAATAGAAAAATTAGCCAGGCATTGCGGCAGGCACCTATAGTCCCAGCTAATTGAGAGGCTGAGACAAGAAGGATTGCTCGAACCCAAGAGTTTGAGGTGATGCCACCATGGCACGCTACCCAGAGCAACAGAGTCTTTGTCTCGAAAGAAAAAATTACTATTTAACATGCATGGCGGGGGCACTGAATTACCTGCTGTGGAGCTGGGGAAGGACAGTTTTACAAAACAGATCTCACATAGGATCACATTCAAACCCCTTAATCTGGCCTGCAAGGGCCCAGCATTTCTCCACCAACTCTTTTGTCACAGGCATTTTATTTTATTTTATTTTATTTTATTTTATTTTATTTTATTTTGAGACAGAGCCTCAAGCTATCCCCCTGGGTAGAGTGCTGTGGCATCACAACTCACAGCAACCTCCAACTCCTGGGCTCAAGCGAGTCTCCTACCTCAGCCTCCCAAGTAGCTGAGACCATAGGCACCCACCACAACGCCTGGCTATTTTTTTGGTTGCAGCCATCATTGTTGTGTTGTTTGGTGGGGCCCAGGCTGGATTTGAACCTGACACCTTAGGGGTATGTGGCTGGCGCCTTAGCCACTTGAGCCACAGGTGCCGAGCCATCACAGGCATTTTAGATGCTTCATTTCATTGGGTTCTCATAAAACTTGAGAAGATTATTGTTATTTTCCCATTTATAGATGAGGAAGTGGAGACTGAGAGAGGGGAAGTGATGGGTTATGTCACATAGCTAGGAAACATCAAACAGGAACCCTGGTCTGTCTGTCTCAAAGTGCATTTCTCTGGCCCAGAGGTGCCTCGCTGGAGCCCCACCTTGTACTATTTCCCCACCTGAATCCTCTGCCTCAGACAATTTGCTCTCCTTCCTGCCCCCAGGCTTCTGCTCCTCTCAATGCCTACAGAGCCAGCTCTCTGCATATTATTTATGTCCCAGCTATTTTCAAAATGGGTTTAACCTGGCTAGCACAAGGGGCACATGTATCATTCCAGGTCCAATAGGAAATAAATCCTGTTTTGAGTAATTCAATAGAATTTGATACTAGGATTAGTTACTCAGGTGTTAGAAATGATAGACGAGTAACCTGGGGCCAGGAGGCAACTCTGAGCTTAACAGAAGGAAGCTGCCTACACCCCTGGAGATGGAAGGACAAACTGAGAAGGTGAGAACACTGGATTCCAGGACTGGGACCACCCAGTGGAAGCTGGCACCATACTGGGGCTGGGCAGGAGGAATTAGAGCTGACCCCCTAAAGTAGAGAGGATGCAGGATGAGGGCCTGGACTGGGTCTGAGGGCACATTGGCAAATGACAGCACACCGTGTATTTGATAAAATCTTGACATTGAACGTGTAAAAAGGAGGAGGAATCAAACATGCTGTTTCTAAGGGAGTGGTTCTCAACCTTCCTAATGCTGCAATGTATTTTTATTGTTAAAAAGGGGTGGCGACCCACAGGTTGAAAACTGCTGCTGCTCTAGGGGTTAATGTGGATCTTATGATGCAGCATTAATTTTGACTATGAGCTTCCTGGCAGCCAGAGCAAAAGGAGAAGGCATAATTCTCATGCTCTTATATGAGCCTGTACAACCAGTTCTCCAAGAGAGATTGAGTTTATCCCATGGACATCACAGAGGGAAGAGGAAGGGACAGAATGGATGTGTCTTCCGCTGTGGCTTTTAAAATTGATCCTGATGAAGACTAAATGTGGAATACAAAATGTACAGATGAAACTTTTTCAGTGTAGGTATTTAGCAGAGGTCGCTGGGGACCTCATAAGCACAAGCCTAGAACATGACTTACTCAGGGAGAGAAGTAGACATGGCTACGTCAGGGCAGCCAGGGATCAGGTCCTTCTTGCCTGAATCAGCTGTCAGTCTCTCTTCCCCAGATCTGGGGTCCCAGCGGGAGATGGCTGACTGACAATCTGAGCTTTTCTCTCCACAAAGGACCCAGAATTTGGGGCTCTGTGTCACTTACCAACTTATGTGCATTGTGGCCTCACGATGCAAAGGCTTCCAGTCTTGGGCCTTGAATGAACAGAGTCCTAGTTCAAGTTACTTGAACTTTCTATGCCTCAGTTTTTTCTAGTTGTATCAGTAAGGGTTTAATAAATCAGTGACCAATCCTAGAAAACTTAAGTATTTCAGCCAGAGAGAATTTGATGCAGAGACTTGATTACAAAGGTATTGAAGAGCTGGAGAAGGAAAAGAGGAAAGTTAAGTTAGCTCAAGATTTGTTACTGCAAGGAGCTGCTACTGTTGCCAGACCAAGGAGACCACCTGCCCGTCACCCAAGTCAATCAATGGAGAAGCGGATGAGAAATCAAGAATTTCACTTTTATTTATAGAAAAGCCAGTGATTCTGAGAGCAGCAGAGGAAGCTCTGCCTTCCTCCTTCCCTTTGTTACTTTTTATTCTTACAGTAAACCTGAGCATCAGCAATGTTATTATTCATTGTAGTATATGTTAAATATATTCCTCCTCATAGGTCACGAAGTTACACATTATCTTCCTATCTCAAGTGATTCTATCTTTAAAGCATTTTAATTCTAGACTAAATTTGTACTTAGTCAGCACTTCACTGGGTGCACAGAATGTCCTGGGTCCTTGACCGGTACCACGGAGTCCAGTTTCTCAACTTATCTATGACAGTAGCCTTGGAAGAGAATAAACAATCTCCAGATGTCAGCACGTAGGCTCACCTGGCCTTGTTAGGGCTTGAGTAGCAGCACCCCGCATGAAATGCCTGTTCAGGTTAACAGTGGCTGGGTAGGGGAAACAAAAGGGGAAGTTTTTTTGTGCTGTTGTGTTTGCAGCTCTCGGTTCAGAGATATCTGGGTGGAAACTGAGTGGAGTCCACATTCACCAGCCACTGCCCCTATCTCTGCAACCACTGCTTCTGGATGCAGAGCCAGAAACCAGAGAAATATGGCTTCTCTCTTTCTCTCGCCAACCCTAACTGGAAGCTGCGTGACTGGGAAGTATGGCTGACTGGGGAGTTAGGCTTCCCACGGTGGCATGAGGGAGCTTCCTGAGGGGTGAGTGTGGAGCTGAGCATAACCCACACCACCCAGCCCACTGTCCCTGGAAGTTGTGGGAGATGACAAATGAAGGAATATATAGAATATACTCAGCATAAGTAGCTGGTATGTGGGAAGAAGCCAGTTGTGTCAGTGACTAGGTTGACAATTTCACATAATCATAACAGGGCAGGTACTGGCCAAAGAGAGCAATAGAAAAAAAAATAGACTTGAGTTCTAGTCTCAGCTCTTCTACCTATGGGCTGTGTGATCTTGAGCAAGTTGTTCAACCTCTCTGAGCCTCCAGGGAGACCCTGCCCAGCTTATCTACCAGATCCTTGTGAAAATCACTGTAAGAATATAAAAAGTCTTTTCCTCTATGAAATAACATCTAAGAGAGGGAGTTTTATTGCTAGGATCTTGTTTTGTGTTTCGGCTCATGCATAGAAGGCTGAGAAGGGGGGTGTTATCTTCCTTTAGGATAATTTTGGAGATTGAAGAACCAGCCTCGAACCACAATGGGGGCCAGCTGCTCTTTGGGGATGATGGCTACCTCTACATCTTTACTGGAGATGGCGGGATGGCCGGAGATCCCTTCGGAAAGTTTGGAAATGCCCAAAACAAGTATGTTCTGCATTTGGTTGGCTGGTGGGTTGGTTTACATACTCCTGGGCTTGTCTGCTTTTCTAGAGGGGAGTAGTTCCTCAGCCAGGCAGTGTAGAGCAGTAGAAAGAGCTTTGGGTTCCAGCTCAGCTTGCAGCCTGCTGGGTACCCCAGTCAAGTCACTCATTCATTCTTATCAGAGGGAAAAAAATCATCTCCATGGAGAAACTTGTCATGAGAAGTAAAGGTAATCATGGTGTCCAAGGTGCTTGTCACAGCTGTCTGATAAGTGGACATTAGTGATCCTAGCCTCTGGGAAGCTAGGATTTTTTCTAAGGGTCATCCCACCCCCACTGGAGCCCCACTAGAAAAAGGGGAGGGGAGCTCCCCAGACCAAATGGGGAGTGTGTGCTGGTTGGAGCAGTGTAGTGCTAGCATGTGAGTCACTCATGAAGACACAGATGTTGAAGGTCAGTCCTGCTCTCTTTTACCCACTTCCTAGCTTGAGCAAATGAGTTTAAAAGAGCTTGTTGCATTCCTTACACACACACACCACACACACATGTAGAGTTTTGTGAGTATAAACAAGAATATTCAGGGGTCTCAAGTCAGCCTCCTCCATTCCCTTAGCCAAAATGACAAAACCATCCTCAGCCCAGAAAGTAAAAATAGCGAGTATAATGTTGATTACAGTAATTAAAGTGCTCACAATTTGTGACTTGTGCTTTTATATGTGACGGTGTAAGAATCATCCCAGCTTTCTCATGTTTGGGATATGTTTAGAAATGAAGCTGAGAAAATAGAAATTAAGGATATGTGGATAATTGGGCAAAGCTTAAAAACATCGTTTTCCTGTTATGAGTTTTTCTCACTGATGTGCTGAAGCCTGGTGTGTAGTGCGTGGGCTCAGGATGTGGCCTGAGCACGGAGTTGAGTAGGCTGGAGTGTAGAGAGGAATTCACGGCCAGTAAAAGGGGATTAACCATGAGGCATCTATGGAGTGGGAGCATTTTATCATCATTAAGGAGGACACGTGTTAGCTATACCTACTCATAACTGAAACTCTTGAGTATTAATGCTACGTGACAGTGATATGTTAACTGCTCAAACTATCAGCCCTGCCCTGAATATAGTCTGGAGGGAGTGTGCCCGAATGCTAACAGTGAGAGGAAAAATTATACATTAAGAAAGTGCGTCAAAAATCATGGATGAGGCCAGGCATGGTGGCTCACCAGTAACCCCAGCACTTTGGGATGGGAGGCGGGACAGGAGGATTGCTTAAGGCCAGGAGTTTGAGACCAGCCTGGGCAATATAGCAAGATCCTATCTCTGTGACAAATAAAAATAAAACAATGAGCTGGGCGTAGCAGCACATGCATGTTGTCTCAGTTATTCAGGAGGCTGAGGCAAGAGGATCACTTGAGCCCAGGAGTTTGAGGCTGCAGTAAGTTATCATCATGCTATCACTTCACTCCATCCTGGGCCACAGAGTGAGACTCCATCTCTACAAAAATAAAAATTAAAAATCATGGATGAAAAGGCAGCGTTCCCTTCTGTAGTGTTGTCTTCAAGCACGTTGCAGATTTTTCTCATCTCATCATGTCTTACTTTTGCTGCATGGTTAGAGATACAGCCCTGTGCTCTCTCCCCTTCTTGCAGCCCTCACATGTACTCTGTTCAGTGCATTTGACTTTGCAGTTACCCAGTCACTGACTCAGCAAACAGTGTTTACCTGCTATGTGCTGGTCACTGTGCTGGGTATTAGAAGAAAGCCGTAAGCACTAGTCATTTTTCTAGTGGAATTTTTACCCTATGGCACAATCCTGCAGGACTAAGTGGGGCCACTCTAATATGACAGTTAAGGACACTGAGGTTCCAGAGAGTGTAGTAGTAAAGACCTTGGGTTTCTGGAGCCAGGCTACTTGGGCTGGATTCCAGCCCTGCCATTTCCTAGAGGTATGGCGACTGGGCATGGTATTTGCCTTTTCTGAGCTCAGCTGCTCCATCTGTAAAGTAGGGATCATAATAGTACTCACCTACCTAAAATGTTGATGTGGGGATGAATCGAGCAAAAAATGATTTTGTGTCCAATGCTTGCCACGGCCTGACACACAGTAAAATGCCTGATAAATGTTGAATGAATGAATGAGGTTACCAGGCTGGCAAGTAGCTGAGGAGGATTGGAACCCGGGGCCCCATAGCCAAGGCTTGCTCTGGCACAGCTGTCAGCCCGGTGCACCTAGGTCTGCACGCGCTGCGATAAGCCTGGCACAGGGCGACCCCAATCCGGTTTGCTCTCCTGCCTGCCCACAGGTCAGCGCTGCTGGGCAAGGTGCTGCGCATCGACGTGGACCGCAACGAGCGCGGCCCGCTGTACCACATCCCGCCCGACAACCCGTTTGTGGGCGACCCCGCCGCGCGGCCGGAGGTCTACGCTCTGGGCGTGCGCAATATGTGGCGCTGCTCCTTCGACCGCGGTGACCCGGTGTCCGGAGCGGGCCGCGGGCGCCTCTTCTGTGGCGACGTGGGCCAGAACAAGTTCGAGGAGGTGGACCTGGTGGAGCGCGGCCGCAATTATGGCTGGCGCGCCCGCGAGGGCTTCGAGTGCTACGACCGCAAGCTGTGCGCCAACGCCTCCCTCGGTGACCGCCCACGCCCCGGGGACCCTGATCCCAGATCCGCCCCCCACCACTGCCCCAGGGGCTGCGTGCCATCGCCTCTCTCGGGGATCGCCTGCGCCCCCATCCCTTCCCGGGTACCCCAACATCTTGGAGCCATCCCCCATCCCGCAGGCCGTGCACCAGCGCCTCCTCCCCCCAACCTCCCTGCACCTCGGACGCCTCCAGGCATCGCTCCTGAATTCCTCTTTGTTCCTTTCTCCCACTGGCACCCCTACAAATACGCTTTCCACTTCGCCATATTCGCCATAACACCTGTGTGCACTTTCTTCCCTCTGTGACGGTCCCCTTGGGCCCTCTGAGTAACGTCAGGTCCCCTTGTCCCACAGGACCCAAGGCTGCCCTGAATGCTTTGTTGCGGAGGAGGGGACCTATTGCCCACGCCCAAGAATTAATTCAACTATCGGGTAACCCCGGCTCTGTAGGTTCATTTGGTTTTCCGCTCCCTTTGCAGACGATGTGCTGCCTATCTTCGCGTACCCACACAAGATGGGCAAGTCGGTCACGGGAGGCTATGTGTACCGGGGCTGTGAATACCCCAACCTGAATGGCCTCTACATTTTTGGTGATTTCATGAGCGGGTGAGTGACCCACTGCCCTGGCTGCCCCTGGGTCCCTGGGACTGTGGTAAAAATGAGTGTGTGTGTGTGTCTCTCTGTGTGTGTGTGGGGGGGGGACATGCACGGCTACTCTAACAGGATTCCCAGGAGTGGGGCAAATACCCTAAGCTGCCTCATTGTCTCCTGATACCGCTGGGTCAGGTACCACCTGACAGAGACATTACTAGCGTTAAAAACTGGACTTGCTTAAGTGCAGGTCCTGCAGGCTTCTCCTCCCTCCTGAGAGTCATGGTCTCTGGGCCTGACAATAGTTCTGATGGGCAGGACAGCAGTACGTGAACAATTTCCTGAATACTCAGAGACACCCTGCTCCTAGGGAAGCCAGACCTGACACTGCACCAACTGATGGTGACCCCAGCCCCAGCCAGGGCTGCAGGGAGCATTGGTCCAAGCTCCCTCAGCACATGTTGGGAAAAGGAAGCCCAGACAGGGCAGTGGCTTGAGCTCTTCCTGCTGAGGAAAGGGGAGATGGGGGCGGTGGGGCTAACCATTGTGGCCAGTGGTACCTTGCTGCTGGCCTTATGCTCTGGGGTAGTGCCACCTCCTCCCAGTGAGACCCTTTGTAGGGGTCCTCAAACTACGACCCACAGGCCACATGCAGCCCACTGAGGACATTTATCCAGCCAGCCTGGTGTTTTTGCCACCGCTGCCTGTCCTGCTTAGCAGCTAACTCAACCCAGGGCCTGCAGTCCGGCCCTCCAATGGTCTGAGGGACAGTGAACTGGCCCCCTGTTTAAAAAGTTTGAGGACCCCTGCAGAGGGTGTGTGTGTGTCACATCACAAACAGGTTTTGTGGCAGGGAGAAAACATACCTCCTGAGCCTGCTGTGAGTCAGGCCCTGACCCCAGGGGAGCTTATGGAGCCTCAAGACCCTTTGTTGACCCACTGTATAGAAGAGAAAGCTGAGGACCAGAGAAGCCCAGGGAAGACATGAGCCTGGTACAAGGCTGAGATGGGGAGGGGATGAATCCTGGCCCACCTACTGGCTGAGTGACCTTGAGTCAGTTACTTCACCTTTCCTCGTTGTCAGTTTTCTTATCTGCAAAATGGATTTGATCATACTCTACCTCCTAGGGTTGTTTTGAGGACTGAATTGGTTAATACATATGCAGTACTCAGAATCTAGTACATACTCAATACGTGGTGGCTCTTTATTATTCCCACACACCCTTCCCCAGAGGACAGCCAAGAGAGGAAATAAGGACACATGAGGGGGTAGGTGGATGTGGGGAGGGAGGGAGAAATGGTCACCTCTCAGAGGCTCATTGACCTTGTATTCAGTCTGCAGCCTGGAGCGGAGCGAGAACACTGACCTGGGCTCCCAAATGTTGGTTCCTTCTCCCAGATCTGCCCTTTCCTCTTCAGCTTTCATGTCTGGAAAATGGGTCTAGATAAAGCCTGTTTTTACTCCTGATTCTCCTTTTCCCATCTGTCCTCCCAGGGTGCCTAAGTCTTCAGACTCTAGAAATTCAATTAATTTTGCCAATATTTCCCAAGCCCCCTCTGCCAGGGTGAGGATGACAGGGGTGAAGAGCACTTCACACCTGACTCAGGGAGACAGACCCATCCTCTGTCCACTGTAGTATAACCTGAGGGCCACTGTGCTGGGAAGCCCAGCTGGCAGACAGTCAAGGAGGGCTTCACAGAGGAAGGGATGTCTAAGCAGGACCTGGAAGTATCAGTGGGTGACAGCCAAGCGGAAAAGGGGTAAGGGGCAAAATTAACATATTTCAAAGATGTCTTAACTCCAGCTTGTGATCTGAAATGGAGGTAACACCAAAGTAGGTGCAAACTCCCAGGCACCAGCCTTGGTTGGCTAGGTCTGAAACAGAAGTCAGCTCTTGAAAGTGCTGGGACCTCTGCTGGCCGGTGAGGGGATTGCACTGAGGCAGCAGTAACCAGGCCGGTCTTTCTTGTTCATTTTCTGCATCTCTCTGGGAGGTGTTCAGTAGAGGTTTCACACAAAGCTAGCTTCATGAATGTGCAACTTGTGCAATCACACAGGGCCCATGATTATAAAGGCCCACACTTGATCTAATGCTCTATGGTTACCATCTTAAAATTCTCAATAATTTTTGATCAGGTGACCCTGTGCACTCATTTTGCATCTGACCCTGCAAACTCATTTTGCCCTGAACCCTTCAAATTATGTATGGTCTGGGTTGCATGGAGAAGTAGGTGAGTGGATGGATTGTTGGGTGTGTTCCCCTGGTGGGGGAAAACTCACAGCTTATCTTCCTTTGCAGGCGTCTGATGTCCCTCCGAGAGAAACCAGGGACAGGCCAGTGGCAGTACAGTGAAATATGCATGGGCCGTGGCCAGACCTGTGCATTTCCAGGCCTCATCAACAACTACTACCCACACATCATCTCCTTTGCAGAAGATGAGGCGGGTGAGCACTCCTAAGACCTGTCCATCTGGGCTCCCAGTGTATGCGTGTGTATCCTTCTGGCCTCTAATGTTCTGGGTGGAGTTTCAGGCCTGAATTTACCTTCGTGCTGGGGAGGAAGGTGTTTAGTGGGCTTAAGACCTTGTTTGTGGATCTGTGGGCAAGTCTTCACCTCTCTCTGCTTCTATTTCCTCATCTGGGATTTGGGAATAGTGACCCCCTCATCCCTTCACCCTAGGCTTGCTGTGAAGGTTAGAGCAATAACATGCATAAGACTCTACAGCAGTTAGCCAGATCTGGAAGGATCTGGAATGGTGGAAAGGCAGACAAGTGGGGGAAGAGAGCCTCCTCAGAGGCTTCCAGTGGCCCTGGGTTCCAGATGGCAAATGTATTTGTGGCATTAAATGAAGCCGCACAATTATTTCAAAGTGAGTGGACACAGTCATCTTACTGGTTAGTGGGTCCTGCATTCAGGCACTTGTGTTTTCAATGCAAGGGGCAGAGGGGGAAGGGAGAGGAAGAGGGGCCAAGGAGCTTGGATCCTGCTCCAGCCTCCTGCCTTTGTCCTAAGTCCCAGGATTGTTATCAGACAAAAGCTGAGGGGCTCCCTGTGGGCCCTGATGGATGCTTATTGGGGTTGCTAGGCAACACTCACTCGGGCCTTTGGAGGGGTATTCCCTGCAGGGCCCAGTGCCTACAGCCCCCCAGGACCAAATCTGGGAAACTTTTGTTGAACCACAGAATCTGGATTTCCAAAGGGGCAGCCCCAGCCCCCACTGCCATCCCCTAGCTTACTGGGCCCTTGAAAGCCCTTTCTTTTGGTCAGTAGGAGGTTAATGGTGTTTTGGAAGAAGGGAATGGAATAGATGCAGGGCTTGGAAGGAAAGTGCAGCTCCTCAGCCTTCTGAGTAACTGGAGTATGGAAAACCAGGAGGAGGCACCTATGAAACAGGCAGTGTAGGTACAGCCTTGGTGGGGCACCTGCTGGAAAGCAAGGGCCACTGGGGTCATTGCAAACAAGCCTTTTCCTGCTCCAGCTGCTGACTCTCTGGTAAATTGCAAAGCAATAATCTCTGCTGGCCTAGGTGTGCTCCTGGGGCTGTCCGCACCACAGAGACCAAGAGGACAGTGTAGGCCTGGGCAGCTTAGGCAGCAGTTGTCTAAGGGGGCTTAAGCAGTTGTGGGGGCTCCCTGTGTGTGCATGGGGTTAGAGGCCACAGCTCTCAGCAATCAGGGGCCTTGGGGGTCCAACCCTATTATTCTACTGATGGGGAAACAAGGCTGACTATACACGTCCAGTTATGCAGTGGGGCACTATGCCCAGCCTGGCCCCTGCCTCCCAGAGCAAGGCGTTAAGGTTGGTCAGCCAGGTGAAGAGGATGGAGAAGGGTGTTCCAGCCCAAGAGAGAGGTGCATGTAGGGAGTTTCTCCAAGGAGGCACAAGGGCTGCATGGCTAGAGGGGAGCCTGGCCTTTTCCCAGGGCTTTTTCCAGAAAGATGCCCAGAGAATGAAGTGAATGGCCCAAGGAAGCACAGAAAATCTGGGCCTATGCCTATGGACTCTCTGGTAGGAGAGAATCCTCCTCCTACCAGTCCATCTTGCCAGGTTACTCTAACTCCTGCAGGTTGCATCATCACCTTATGGGTCTATACCCCTTCCCTCACCTCCCTAGTGGAGCTAATGCTTGGGGGGGCACTCAGGAGTCACTGACCACTCAGTGTCTGCTTTCCTTATCCTTCAGCCCTGTCACAGCTGCATCTACCCCAGTTACATAAGTTGCCCCTCAAGTTTCTTCCTTTTGTGGAATTTCCTGAGTTCCCTGGCATTTCTCAGATGCCACCACTAAGCAGCCCTCCCTGATGCACCTGTAGCACCTGCAGCCCTCAGGGACATGCCTTTCTCCATGCTCTTACCAAGCGGTCTGTCTCAGCCTCTCCTTGGGGAGGCACCCACCCTGTCCCCAGCCCTAGGGGAGCTCTCTGCTATCCTTTTACAAGAACAGAAGTATTTGCATGGCTGAGTCCTCACATCAAGCCACTTGTGACTCGTCTGTGCTCCCAGCCACCAAGCATCCTATATTAGTGTGGGGTTGAACAGCAGACTTCCGTGAGTTCTAGGTCTGGCTTAACCATTCACTATTGTGTGACTTTGGACAAGTCACTTGACCTCACTGAGCCTCTGTTTTCTCATCTGAAAGATGAACATAAGGAGATCTATTTTCTGGATGGTGCCTTTGGCAGCAGGGGTCTGGGACATGATTGGGATGTGAAAAGCAGAGAGAGCTAAGATTCCCAGAGAGCATTCTGAAACTTTTCCTAAGAACACGACAGTGCTAGGTGCTCAGAACGCTGGTTGCATTTTCACTGCAGCTCTGAGAGATGGAGGAAACTGAAGCTCAGAGTGGAGCCATCTCAAAGCCGCTAGAGATCACATGAGCCAGGTGGAGGGGCTGAGATTCACACTCCTGACCATGCACTTTCTGCCCTGCCTGGGAGGTGCCGGAAGATGACAAAAACATTAGTAGCTAATACTGAGCACTTACTCTGTGCTCTTTAATCCTGTAACAGCTCCATGGACGTACCCATTTTAAACACGAGGAAGCTAAAGATCAGACAGCTGAGTGTGCCCTCAGGTCACCCAGGAAGCAGTCAGTGGGGGAGTGGGGCTGTGCATCCTCATTTTTGCTCAGAGGTGTGTGATGCGGGGCCAGAAACCTAGGCAGGAACTGGGGTGGGCTGGGTACCAGGAAGGATGCAAAATTGTACATCACGTCAGAGCCTGGGTGGGTAGACAGAACCTGGAATACTCTCTCAGCCAGCCCTGCCTCAGCCCTCAGTTGCCCTGAGGATCCTAAGTCAACCCTATTCCCAGCAACTCAAAGGTGAGGAGTCAGGCCATTCTAGGTATCAAGCCCCAGGACTAGAAATGAAGCTGGGGGAGGCAGCCTCATGCCCCAGGGCCTCTGGAATGTGGCATCCTGGGTGTATGGCTCTGCCTGGACTCACACAGGCTCTGACCTCCAGTCTTGCCTCCTTCCTGATTTCCCAGCCCACCCCTGTAGGGTTCTCACTGATTGCCTTGTTCATTATCCAAAGGGGAGCTTTACTTCATGTCGACAGGCGTGCCAAGTGCCACAGCTGCACGCGGGGTCGTCTACAAAGTGATCGATCCCTCCAGGTGAGTCCTGTCTGTCCAGACGTTGACTGAGCTCCCGTTGTCTGCCAGGACACCTCTGTTACCTTGTTTTCCCTCTCCCTGAGGTTGCTTTTTTTTTTTTTGAGACAGTCTCAAAATAGACTTTGTCTCTACTAGAAATAATCAGAGTAGAGTGCTGTGTCGTCATAGCTCACAGCAACCTCAAACTTCTGGGCTCAACCTATTCTCTAGTTTCAGCCTCCCAAGTAGCTGGGACTACAGGTACCCACCACAATGCCTAGCTAGTTTTAGAGACAAGGTCTCTAAACTCTTAACTCTTGTTAAGGCTGGTCTCAAACTTGTCAGCTCAAGCAATCCGTCCATCTCTACCTCCCAAAGTACTGGGATTACAGGCGCAAGCCACTGGGCTGGCTCAGCAGGTATTATTAATAGCCCCGTTTTTCAGACAAGAAAACTAAGGCCCAGAGAGAAGTGAGTAGCTACTGATGAGGGTAGAAGCAGGATTCAGAGCTGGCTCACCATTAGCACTATTCAGATGGTACAGAGCAGAAGCCACCAACTATAGCTGATGAGTGATGAGCAGAGGCTTGACTAAGCTTGCTTACTGGCCCCTTCCCCTGCATCTGTCTTCTCCTTGTACCTCCAGTCCCTCACTGGCCTCCCAGCTGCCTCCCAGACTCCCTGAAGCCTATGTGTCCCTCTGCCCTGATCCTGCCCTGGGGAGACCACCATTGACTACTGGCTAGAACACAGTACTCTACTCTGCTTTCATCTCTGCTTGTAGGTGTAAGGCCACTAACTCTGTGTTAGGTGGTATTCTGACTCCTTCCATGCATAACTCATTCATTGACTTCTCAGCTGCCCGTTTCACAGGGACAGAAATGAACATAAGGATAGGAAGTCATGGGCCCAGGCCCCAGCAAAAGTCAAAGGTAGCTGGTTCCAGAGTCCTGCCTTAGTCCCTTAGCTACTGCTAAGTGCCTTCCCTAATCCACTTTCTGTCCAGGCCCCTGTCTACCCCTCTCTCAGCTCTCACAAACCAGGCTTGTAGTCTCTAAGCTGTACAACTATCTCCCAGCTGCTCTGATGGTCTCCAGGGCTAAGGCTGTATCCCTGCAAAGTCAGCCCTCACCACCAGGAATGGCACAGAGCAGAGACTTGGAAATGTGTGATGAATGAACAAATGATCATCTTTCTTAAGCATCTTCCCAGCCTTTAGTTATTTGCTTCTCTGAGGGTTTTCTCACCAGCCTGTACTTCTGTTCAGCACCCTGGAATGAAGACAGCTAGTGCTCACCTCCAACACAAAGCTTGAGGTTGCACTCTAAGAATCTGCTCACCGTTGGCAGACCCTGGGAGATCCCCTAATATGTTTAGTTACTCCAAACTTTAAGACACAATAGGTTTAGAAAAATCCTGAAATACTTGTTGTACTTAAAAAATTTCTTTTGGCCAGGCACAGTGGCTCACACCTGTAATCCTAGCACTCAGGGAGGCCAAGACCAGGATTATCCCATGAGCCCAGGTGTTCAAGACCAGTCTAAGCAAGAGAGAGAAGCTGTCTCTACTAAAAATTAGTGGGTATTGTGGTGTGTGCCTTATAGTCCCAGCTACTTGGGAGGATGAGACAGGAGGATCCCTTGAGCCCAGGAGTTTGAGGTTGCAGTGAGCTATGATGATGCCACAGCACTCCAGCCTAAACAACAGAGTTAAGACTCCATCTTAAAATGTATATATATATATATGTTGGGGCAGTGTCTGTGGCTCAGAGGAGCAGGGCGCCGGCCCCATATGCCGGAGGTGGTGGGTTCAAACCCGGCCCTGGCCAAAAACTGCAAAAAATACCCCAAAACATGTATATATGTTTTAAACTTTTAGAATAGTTTTAAATTTACAGATAAATTGCAAAGATAGTACCGAGTTTCCCATATACCCCCACCCTGTGTCCTCTATTATTAACATCTTACATTATCCCAATACACTTGTCAAGACTAATTAGCTAATATTAGCATATTACTATAAATTAAATACCACACTTTTTAAAAGGACTTTTCTAGATGTTCTATTCCAGGATCCCATATTATCTTTTTTTTTTTTTTTGAGTCAGTGTCTCAAGCTGTTGCCCTGGTAGAAATCCGTGGCATCACAGCTCACAGCAACCTCAAACTCCTGGGCTTAAGTGATTCTCTTGCCTCAGCCTCCCAAGTAGCTGGGACTACAGGTGCCCGCCACAATGCCCGGTTATTTTTGGTTGTAATTGTCATTGTTTGGCAGGCCTGGGCTGGATTCAAACCTGCCAGCTCCGGTGTATGTGGCTGGTGCCCTAGCCGCTGAGCTACAGGTGCCGAGCCCCATATTTCATTTAATCATCATATCTCCTTAGTGTCCTCCAGTGTAGGATAGCTTCTCAGATTTTCCATGTTTACCACACTTTGTGTTTTAAAGCACAGATATATTATTTGACATGTGGGGGTGTCTCTCCTACCCTTTTGCATAACAAGGATTTTTTACATAATTTCCTGAAGGAACAAACCTCTTGCCAGGTCTTTCTGGAGAATGTAGACATTCCCTGGAAGTCAGAGTAAACAAACCTCCACTCTTCCTCCAGCTTTGACAATTGTGTGGGCCTGGTTATGTTTCTGCAGCCTCTAGGGACAAAGGTTGTGTCCCTCCTTAGTTTCCTTCTTTTGCCAAGCATGTCAGGAGGCTTCTGTGTGTCACATGGCTGCTTCACCTTTTAGGCTTCCCACCTCATGCTAACAGAGTCCTACTGGAACCCTACCGAAGTGGACCCATATGGGTCAGTCTCAGAATAGGGTTGGCCCTATTCAAAGATCACAAATCCACAGCCAAAACCTAATTAAAATGGAATGCCCTTTAGTGATGTCAAAGGAGACCCAATTCACAGCCCTGGCACTGTTCTCAGACTCCTCAAACTCATGCCAACGGCCCCCATCCCTCCTCTCAGCCCCGGCCCCTGCCTCATCCTTTAAGTTGATTTGACCTTTCCCTGGCCCTTGAGACAGAGAAATTTCTCAGATTCTCATAACCAGAAATCCAGCAAGCAGAGGGGCAGAGAGAGACCCTCCTCAAAATCACTGGAGATGGTGAGTGAGGAAGGGGGCAGGAATAGGCAGTAGTTAGAGGAGTCAGACTGGCAGGCTGGGCAAGTAGAGAGCCTGGCATTTGATCATACCCCAAGGACAGAGGCCATGCTCTGAATTAGAAATGGCTCAAGAATGAGTAAGCCGCCAGCCCTGGTGCCACTCAGGCAGAGGCTAAGTAGGCTCTGGCAGGCTGTTATAGGGGGTTTGTGTCCTAGGGTTGAGCCCTTAGAATCCTGGGGGAAAGAGAAATGCTGTGGGCCATATGTTATGAGGTCTCTGAATAGCCTCCTGTTGCTATTGTTCCTGTCTACACCTGCCTGACCACTCTCCTCCCTCACTGCAGGGGAAGGGCAGATGTCAGGGAGATACACTAGGGTGGGCTCTCAAGGTGGGACTCATGACCTCCTGTGTGTCCTTGGCAGACGGGCACCACCCGGCAAGTGTCAGATCCATCCTGCTCAGGTGAAGGTGAAGAGCCGCCTCGTCCACTTTGTGCCTAAAGAAAGTAAGTGCCTACCAGTGGAGATGCTGGGGATGGGGAGAGGGCTCCTGCAGCTCACCCTTGCTGCTCCTCCAGCCAGATGCCTGGCCCTGTGCCCAGCACTGTGCCTGGCACACGTCAGATACTATGTTAAAGTGGATGGAAGTTTAACTAAAGTGGGTCCTGCTTCACTGGCCACAACTCCTTAAACCAGGTCCCAAGCCATGGGTGGGTGTCCCTAAGGGGCTGCAGGCTGAGAAGGAACACAGCAAAGAAAGAAATACCTGGTGCCAGGCAAGGTATGCTCAGAGTTCTTGGGAGGGACCGAGAGAGACAGAGGTTTATCTGTGTTTAAGCAAGGGAGTTTGGAAAGAGTTACTTGAGTGAGAGGGTGGCATTTGGGCTGGGCCTTCTATGAGATGTTTTCACTTTGTCAAGCTTGGTAAAGAGAGAGGAGTGAGGGGCCAGCAAGCCTACAAAAGACTGTCTAAGGGGTCTGGAAGACTGTCCAGGGGGAGGAAGCTGTTGCACTGGGTCCAAGTTAGCTAAGAATAAGGACCCAGTGTTGCTATCTTCTGATTCTTAAGAAAAGTAGGAAACCATCCATTCATTCAGTAACCACATGTGTGCCTTGCTGAGCAACACAGCTGTGGTCTTTACCTTCTCATTACATACATTCTCCAAATTTGAAGTTTTGGCAATCAGTTCAAAATTTAAAAAACCACTTTGTAGGCTAGAGGAAATATTTCAGCAGACCAGCAAGTCTGGCATGTTGCCAGTTGGACTGGGCATGGGGGAGCAGATAGGCTAGGGGAGCTGGGTCCCTGATAGAGTGGGGGTGCACAGCCCTGAGGTGGGCATGCCCAGGACAGTAGGAGGCTGGGGGAAGGGAGGAACTTGGTGTTTTTGGAAATTAGTTCTGGTTGCAATTGTTTTGGGGCTTGGTGTGTTTTTCACTCTCTCATTTTGCAGTTTCTGGTGCTTTTGTTAGTTACCAGCTCTGTGCTGGATGCTGGAGCCACAGAGAGAAGTTAGACCAGGCCCTGCCCTGGGTAGGACAGACAGAGAAGTCATTTAGTGTCCCAGGCCCTGTGACAGAGTGTGCAACGGGTCCTGTGGGACCCACCTAGAGTTGTGGAGTTGGAGCCTGGAGAGATGAGGAGAGGTGGCACACACTCACCAGCAATGGGGGGCAAGGGGGGGGGCGCAACAGGAGTGCAGCAGGGGAAGAGAAGCAGGGAAGCCAGAGAAGCTGGATACCCTTCCTGTGGGTGGAATGGGTGCATGTCTCAGCGCTCACAGCCCTGGCTTACACTTGGTCTTGTTCCGAGAGACCCTTTCTCAGCCCCCATCTCAGTAGTTTTCAGAATGAGATTGGCTAAGTTAAGGGACATGGGGAGATTAAAGTGGTTTGGGCCTATGGCTCCAGGATCTCCCCTCCCCAGTAACTGAGTAGTCTGCAGTTCAACCTTCCCCTGAGGGCTGTCACACAGGTTGGTCCCAGAGCCTGGATTGCCCTGTATTAGGTAGGGCTGGGCACAGCACAGGGTCTGATGCACAGTGAGGGTACACTTAGGCAAGTGTGCCCTCACATCCTGAAGGGACAGAGGGACTCACCCCTCAGATCCCTGTACCCGCTGTGCCCAGGCCTACCTAATACAGGGCAATCCAGGCTTTGGGACCAACTTCTGTGACAGCCCTCAGGGGAAGGTTGAATTCCAGACTACTCAGTTACTGGGGAGGGGAAGATCCTGGATCCTACCCCTACTCTCCCTCCCTCCCCCTCAGCCACACACCCAGGGCACTCCCATCTCACCTGCTGTGATGGATGGCAGGGCCAGCAGCCAGGGAGCCAGCAGGAAAGAGACTAACCCTAACCAAGGGGTCCCTGTGTGGGTCTGGTTCCCATTCTGCTGATCACTGGCCGCTTTACACCTCAGCATTTTTTATTCATCTTTGGGCCCCAGCTTCTTCACCTTTAAAACCAAGGAGTAGAAAGGGGATATGCGGCTCGGCGCCTATAGCTCAACTGGCTAGGGCGCCAGCCACGTACACCTAAGGTGGCGGGTTCGAATCCCCAGCCTGGACCCGCCAAACAACAATGACGGCTGCAACCAAAAAATGGCCGGGCGTTGTGGCGGGCGCCTGTGGTCCCAGCTACTTGGGAGGCGGAGGCAGGAGACTCGCTTGAGCCCAGGAGTTGGAGGTTGCTGTGAGCTGTAATGCCATGGCACTCTACCCAGGGGGACAGCTTGAGGCTCTGTCTCAAAAAAAAAAAAAAAAAAAAAGAAAGGGGATATGCGCCTGGAAGCCCTCCCAGACATTCCTGCTCTTCCTTTATGCTCCTGAGCATATGTGTCAGGGTTTGTCTCCCCCTCCAACCTGGGGATTCCCAGGAGGGCTGGGCTCCTGGGTAGCAAGAAGCAGCAGACTGGCTCAAAGCAGATGCCAGGAGTATTTGCCCAGTGACTACAGAGGCTCCTGGCACCCAGCTGCAGACTGGCATCTTCTGGGTTCAGGGTCACCCTGGATACACTGCTGGGATCCCCAGTGGCACCCCATCTTCAGGGTTTGAGCGGACGGCACGTCAAGCACATCTTTCCCTGGAGTCTGTGCTCCCTGCATTGTCTGGAGAGCAGCATGGGGTGATGGTTCCCTCTGACAGCAGGCTCTTCCTCTGTGCAGAGTTCATCCGGAGGATGGAGAGCACCCCGCGGCCCACTATGCGCACGGCCACCAAGGCGCCCCGCCGCAGCCGCCCCACTGAGGCCCCGCGCACGCAGACCTCGCGCCCAGCACGGCCCACTAGGCGGCCAGGAGGCCGGAGGGGCAGCGGGAGGCGGCGGGGACGGCCCAGCACGGCTGGTCCAGCACCCTCCAATGGCGTGGTGCGCCTTGTGCGGCCTGCAGGCCTGAGCCCTGGCCGTGGGCGTGTGGAGGTGTTCGTGGGCGGACGCTGGGGCACCGTGTGCGACGACGCGTGGGATGTCAAGGCTGCCGCCGTAGTGTGTCGCCAGCTGGGCTTTGCACATGCCGTGCGGGCCAGCAAGCGCGCAGAGTTTGGTGAGGGCCGCTCACTGCCCATCTTGCTGGACGATGTGCGCTGTGCAGGCAGTGAGCACAGCCTGCTGGAGTGTACACACGCCGGCGTGGGCACGCACAACTGCGGTCACCAGGAAGACGCGGGCGTTGTGTGTAGCCACGAGGACCCCGATTTGTAGGCCAGCGTGTTCCAGGGAAGCCTGGCAGGGTCCTTCTTCCCCATGTTGCACCTACGGCATGCTGGCCAACCTTGGGGAAAGGGGGGACTGGATGACCTCTGAGGCTGTGTGCTGGAGGAACCTCCTGGCCGTCTCCAACCTCATCACCATCCTGAGCCCTGTGGCCTCCTGCTTCCAGGACAGGAGCCACTCACCCTAGCTGGGCAGGACTTCCACCTTGGCTGGGGATACAGAGAACACCTCTATCATCTTCATTCTCATACTGCTCAGTGGAACCCAGGGGACACTTGATTCCTTCAGCCACACCTCAGGCCAGCCAGGCTGTGGGTCCAGTGAGACAGCTAATGCTTTGTTACTCAGAGCTATGCCAACAACATGGCTGTTCACAAAACACCCTCCTGCCTCTTCTGTCTGCCCTGCGCCTGCCTGGGAGCTAGTGTTGGGGTGGGAGGTGCTGGGTCTGCAGCTTCACCAAAGTCCTCAGCCCTGTTCTGTGCCAGGCCTTTAGAGGGGCATTAAGTACAGCTGAGCTCAGCCTCTAGGAGGATGGGCAGGGCAGACAAGTCACTGGGCAGTGAGGAAAGGATATGGCCCATGTCGAGGTTGTAAGGAGACTGGGTGAGGAACCCAAACCCAGCCTATGTTGCCTGTGCTGAGTTCTGGGAGTTGAGTTGGCACTAGGGTGGTGCACCAGCATCAGGCAGATGGTGCACACCCTAGTCTGGAAGGTTCTCCTAGCTCAGTGGTTCTCAACCTTCCTAATGCCACAGCCCTTTAATACAGTTCTGTGGGTTGCAACCCACGGGTTGAGAACTGCTGTCCTAGCTGCTCAATGGAGCCATGTGTAGAGTACTGGGCTGCAGGAGACTCTATCCCTCCATGCTAAGGGGGATTGGCAAGGGTCCCAGGCCCCAGTGCCTTGTTGATTCTGTGGAGCCTTGCCACTGACTGTGGCCTGTACGCTGGGCAACATGTAAAAATGGGACAGCATGTGTCAGCTCATTCAGTCCTCAGAACAGCCTTCTTCTTCCTTTTTACAGAAGGAGGAACTAAAGGACACAGAGGTCAAGTATCTTAGTTGAGGGCTTTTTGCCAGGGAGAGGAGAGCCATTTTAACACAAGCAGCCTGGCTCTAGAGCCCCCTGCACCCCTGCACTCCCTAGCTCCAGGGCTGCTGTGCCCAGGGGTGTGCTAGGCCCTGTACGGGGCACCAGCCTGGCTGTGAGGCAGCTAGAGACTGCTCAGGGTCCCTACTGCCTAGAAGATGGCTCTATTGCTGCCTTCCTGCTCCTTTCAAGCCTCCAACTGCCCGGAGGTTGAGTGGGCCTTGTCCCAGGGCACAAGGAAATTCTGAAGTGTTAGGAGTGAGGAGGGCCCTTGGCAACTGTCCAGGTGGAGCAGTGAGCCTAAGGAGAGGTTGTCAGGTGGGCCTAGGCTGAGCCTGGAGCCAAAGGAAGGCATGGTGGTCCTCAAGACCTTCAGACCACAGTGGTACTAGGGCCCTGCTTGCACAGCCCTAGAAGCTGTTTTGTCTAGAGAGGGGATGTTGGCAGAGGGAGCTGGGGGTAAAGTCCTAGGCCCTTCCACTCCACTAGGCAGTGCCAACCTTGGCCTATGAGTCTTCCAGGCAGGATGTGTTCCTTCCCCACTCCCAGTCTTATCACCTCTCAGGACCCAAACAAGGTTTAGGTGGTGGCTTCACTCCTGGAAGGAGGTAACTACCATCCTTAAGTAGTAAAAAGGGAAGTGGGCAATGAGTCTGCTGAACATTGCACACCAGTCTTACAGACCATATAGTCCTCACACTAACAATGAGAGCCAGGTGTTATGATCAGCCTGTCTTCCCATTTTACAGATGTGGAAGTTGAGTCCCAGGGAGGTTGTCACTTGCCAATGTTACATAGCCAAAATTTGAATTTGAACCCAGGCAGTGCAGCTCTGGAGCCTCAGCTATGGGCTTTCCTGCTGTGTTGCCTCAAAAGCATTGAATTACCTGTCCCACATGTCCCCCAAGTTCAGGGAAGGAAAGAGCTGGCTTCTTGTCTGGTGCTCCTTTCACTCCCCCACTTGTAGCTGGCCACTGAGGGAGCATTTACAAGTGACACTGTCCCCAGGGACTTCAATCCTGCCTTAGAGTCCTCCAGGGCCTCTGGGGATGGGGGTCAAGGCTTGCTTTCTTTTTTGCCAGCTTCCACTCAGATCTCTCTAATTCTAGCCTTCAGTTAACAGCCTGGGTCAGATACCTAGAGAAGGGTATCTCTGCTCAAGGTCACACAGCTTAGTTTTGGACCTTAGGAGCCAATGCAGCCCTGCATTTAGGACTGTGTTCAAGGCATCAGCCTAAGGTCATAACACCCTAGCTTCACCTGTGTCCCTCTGGTAAGCCCCAGCTGGGTCAGGGCTCCTGTAGCCCCATCAGTGGCTGAAGCCAAGCACACTGGTAGGCAGCCCCTGTGTTTACATCTTGCAAATATTTGGGTGGTTCAAGGAAGCTGGAGACTGGGTTTCAGTCCTGGTTGTGTGACCCTGGACCAGTCACACAACTCTCTGAGCTTCGCTGGAAAACAAACATAATCAGCAGGATTATTAGATGAAAAATGAGGTAACACCACAGATGTGTTCTCCATGTTCCAGGCTCCTTCTTGGACAGAAAGCTCAATCCCAGGCTAGTAGTGTCCATCTGGCAGCTGCCAACTGTCCAAGACAGAGTGAGGAGGGACACGCCATGTGGAGGGAGCAGTTTCAGAATGACATGGGAAGATTTCCTTAAAACAGGAGAAGAAAGAGATCCTTCACGCCATGTAGAACCCAAGTCTTCTTGTGGAGGCATCTGTCCTTACCTCTCCTTCCCTGCTAACTAGTTTTTACTGAGCACTTACTGAGTTTTTATGAGCATCAGATGTGTTGGCTCATTTAATCCTGACAATGGGCTCATAAGTCACCTTCAGCATCACTGTCTCTCTTTTCCAGAGGGCACAGATCCCTAGGAGGCTATGAAATTGGTTTCCAGAATTTTAGCGGCAGCTTTGAAGGGAGGCTCACCCTTCAAAACCTGATCCTTTTCCTTTCTTAGGGTACTGGATTTCTGCCCTCCCAAGCCACCCAAGTTAAGTCAGCTGCTTCAGAACCACTTCCTGTGCCTGTGTGTCCCTCAATAATTCCTGCTGGGAAGCCACTCCCTGTGTGGTGCCAGCTGTACTGGTGGTTTCAAACTTGAGCAGAATCAAGTTCTGCAGGGCTGCTTAAAATATAGGTTGCTGGGCCCTATCTCTCAGTTTTTGACTCAGTGTTTGTAGAGCTGAGAACTTTCAGTTCTAGCAGGTTCCTGGGTAATGCTGAGGCTGTCAGGGTAGGGCCCACACTGTGAGAGTCATTGTCTACAATAGTACTACCCAGTAGAAACACAGTATGGGTAATTAAAATTTTCTAGTAGCTATGTTAAAAAGTAAAAAGAAAGAGGTGAAATTAATTTAGTATATTTTATTTAACCCAACATAATCAAAATATTATCATTTTAACAGGTAATCCATATATAAATATCAATGACTTTTTTTAATACTCTTTTTTGGTATTAAATCTATGAAATCTGGTGTGGTATCTTACACAGCACATCTCAGTTTGGGCTAGTCCTATTTCAAGTGCTCAACAGCCACACATGGCCAGTGGCTACCATACAGGATAGTTTAATCCAGATCTAGTCCAGATTCTCCCATGAAGGGGCAGAGGGTTGGCAATGCCCTTCCAGGAAGTGAACTCTGCTGGCAACTGCCTGCCTAGGAAAAAGGCCTTCAACCCTAAGCCCTGGGTGGGCAGCCTGTGTTTCCCTACCTGATCACAGGAGCACCAAATGCGGTGGTGATGGGACAGCCATATGTTTGGTACCCAGGAGGAGGGGAGACTATAGGCTTGCCCCACCTGGGGACAAGGGCTGTTTTGTGGGAAGAAATATGTTGAGCTAGAGGTCACTGTTGTTGCCTGATGTGCTAGAGAATATTTTTTTTTTTTTTTTTTTTTATTGAATGGTAACTGTGTACATTGATGCACTTTGCGGGTACAGTGTGGTGTTTTCATACATAATCCAAGACACTTCCATCAAACTGGTTAACATAG